GATGAAGATGTATTTTAACTGCTGTTTGTTTTAATTTTGCTATACGCCACCCCGGTTGCTATGCAGAGGGGCGGGTTATAAATAAAATTATTATTATTATTATTATTATTATTATTATTATTATTACCCAATGATGCCAGCTCCTGATGCTGTGTCCTGCTCACCCCACCCCAGGGGCTGACTATGGATGCATCTACATCAGGGGTAGGCAACCTTTCCCCTTTAAGAGGCGAGGGACTTCAGGTCCCAGAATCCCAGGACCTATTGGCCAACATGGGACTATTGTCCAACATGGCTGAGGCTTCTGGGAGCTGAAGTCCTTCGGCCCTTAAAGGGGAAAGGTTGCCTACCCCTGATCTACATTGTAGAAATAATGCAGTTTGACACCACTTTAACTGCCATGGTTCTATCCTACAGAATCCTGGGAAGCACTCTTTGGCAGAGAAGGTTAAAGACCTGTAAAACTACAGATCCCAGGATTCCATAGTATGGAGCTACAGCACTTAAAGTGCTGTCAAACTGCATTATTTCTACAATGCACATTCATCCTATCTCGCCTACCATAGATTAGCCTTACTTTAGGTAACTTATAGAACAGAGTGTATTTAAGCACTAAAGAGGCTGAACAAACAAGCCATTAGACGAGAAAGGAACAGAATGGAATGGAGGAATAGAGAAGAAAGGCAAAGAAAACACAAATATTTTCTCATTCTCTTTGAGGGGGAAAAAAACAAGATTTTCACATTGTAGCCTTTTTAAAATAATTTTGCATGGATAAAAAAACACTGGCTTTGCACCAAATATACTATTGTTTTCTGTGTGTTTTCTGGGCTATGTGGCTGCATTATGGAATAATTTATTCCAATGTTTCACCTGCACCTGTGTCTGGCATCTTCAGAGGGTGGTGACATGGTGTGAGGTATATATATACTTATATGACACTTGAATGGGAGGGTATGATATACATCTGTGGGGTGCATACAAACTTGTGTTACCCTTGGTTGGGAGGAAGTGATTTACAAGTTAATCTGTGTTGGTCTGTTGTTGAATGGCAAGGCCTCAGGGTGGGAGGATATGTGAGGTGGATGTGTGTCTATTTAATTAGCAATCTATTGTCTGTGGGGAAACCTCACTCTGTAGTGTCTCTTTTGTGCTTTGATCCGTGTTTGAACACTGCATTCACTGGTCCCTATGTAGACCTGCCCACAACTGCACAGTATGCAGTAAACTCCTGTGGCAGTGAGAGTGTCTCTTCTCTCCTTTGCTGAGTGCAGCATTTGCTGGGTTTTCTTGGTTGGTCTGTAGATCATTTGAAGGTCGTGTTTCCTCATCAGTTTCCCTATTCTATCCATGACTCATTTGATGTAGGGACCACTAAAGGCAGCATCCAAACACAAATCAAAGAACATGAGAGACACTGCAGACTGAGCCAGCCAGAAGAATCGGCAGTAGCAGAACACATCATAAAGCATCTTTCACATAGAATGCTATTTGAAAATACTGAAATTCTGGACCATGCAAACAACTACCAGATCAGAATGCACAGGGAGGCCATTGAAATCCACAAACACCTGGACAACTTCAACAGGAAAGAAAAAATACTGAAAGTAAACAAAGTTTGGCTACCAGTCCTGAAGAACACCAAAATCAAGATTCAGATCATACACACCACAAAGGGTTAGGGGGTTTCCCTGCAAACAATGGATTGCTAATTAAATAGACACACATATCCTCCCATCCTGAGGCCTTGTCATTCAACAACATACCAACACACAGATTAACATGTAAATCACTTCCTCCTAACCAAGGGTATATGTATATATCCCACACACTTCCATGCCACTACCCTCTGAAGATGCCAGCCACAGATGCAGTCAAAATGTCAGAATAAATTCTTCCAGAATGCAGCCACATATACTGGAAAACCCACAGAAAACTATGGATGCAAGCCATGAAAGCCTTCAAATTCACACAAAATATACTGTTTGTACAAGTCATTGCTTTTTGAAGAAATGATTATTGGGGAGAGTGTGAGTAATGATAAAAAAAAATGTAAACACACACACCATTCTCATAATGGCACCCTTTCTCAACTA